AGTGTTGATCTGCTTGAGGGGAGGAGGGCTCTGCAGAGAGACCTGGACAGGCTGGATCAATGGGCCAAGGCCAACTGTATGAGGTTTAATAAGGCCAAGTGCCAGGTCCTGCGCTTGGGTCACAACAACCCTATGCAACGCTACAGGCTTGGCGAAGAGTGGCTGGAAAGCTGCTTGGTGGAAAAAGACCTAGGGGTACTGGTTGACAGCCAGCTGAATATGAGCCAGCAGTGTGCCCAGGTGGCCAAGAAGGCCAATGGCATCCTGGCTTGTATCAGGAATAGTGTGGCCAGCAGGAGTAGGGAAGTGATCATCCCCCTGTACTCATCACTGGTGAGGCTGCACCTTAAATACTTTGTTCAGTTTTGGGCCCCTCACTACAAGAAGGACACTGAGGCACTGGAGTGTGTCCAGAGAAGGGCAGTGGTGAAGGGTCTGGAGCTCAAGTCTTATGAGGAGCAGCTGAGTCAACTGGGGTTGTTTAGCCTGGAGAAAAGGAAACTGAGGGGAGATCTTATCGCCCTCTACAGCTACCTGAAAGGAGGTTGTAGCAAGGTGGGTGTTGGTCTCTTCTGCCAAGTAACAAGCAATAGGACAAGAGGAAACAGCCTCAAGTTGCACCAGGGGAGGTTTTGATTGGATATTAGGGAAAATTTCTTTACTGAAAGAGTGGTCAAACATTAGAACAGGCTGCCCAGAGAGGTGGTGGAGTCACTATCCCTGGAGTTCAGGGAAACGTGTAGATGTGGCACTTTGGGACATGGTTTAGTAGGCATGGTGGTGTTAGGTTAACGGTTGGACTTGATGATCTTGGAGGTCTTTTCCAACCTTGAAGATTCTATGATTCTAACACTTAAGCTTTGTTAGGAATAGGTAGGTCTTCTGTTGTCTGGTGACATCACTCAGCATGTAAATTTGTTGTCCACTCTTTCACATATATAAGAGGACTTCTTCCTTGTAACTATTACTCTTGTTCCCTGAAGTAGTACTGTCATGAACTGCGGACTTAATTTGTCAATAAAAGGACATTTAAGTTCTCAAAAATGTTTGATGTCAGGGCTACCACATGTGTGAATGATTGTTCAGGAATGTTTCTGAAGTGCAGTCACACTTCCTGCGTGTGTGAGCAGCTGAAGGGGTTAGTGCAGAGGCTGTAATAGCCTGAAGCAGAGCTCAGTGTCTGTGGTTTGGGAAGATGTTCAGCTGGAATCCTTCAAAACTATGTAGTGCTATGGGTTGGTCGTGGTAGTGATTGCTTGTCGTTGGTTTGGAAATCAACACAAGTTGATGGTTTGCAACATCTTGAAGTCTGAAGCTTTGAGACTGTAAATGTCCTGCAGAATGCAGCATGACACAGAACTACCCAACTTCTGGCGTCCTTGCTTCAGGCTGAAAGCAAAAGTATGTGCCACTGCAGTCTCCTACTTGGATCTGCAGGCCTGCTGCCTCCAGCATCACGTGGTTCTACTTTTTGGACCTCTACCTTTTGGTACTTGTGTGCTGTGCTGCTGCGTGGACAGAAAAGCTTGCATGAAGTTAGCTGCTGTGCTCTGAAATGACTCCATACTGTATAGTCAGAACACTGCCTCTCCAAAACCTTCCTGGGCTCTGATGAGCAATTAACAGCTGTGTAGTGGTCCAAGAAGTTGATGCTTATTTTTGGACACAGATTTAAAAAAGAAAAAAAAATCAGATTTTAGAGTTCCTACTGAAGTATAAGGATTAATGAAACACTTATCTGGCAAGTTTCTCTAAAACAGGAATTAACCAAGCTGTACAGACTTTGAAGCATGAAATTAACTAAGGTGGTTGACTTAAAATCTGGTCTAAGTGCTTTGCTAAATAAAGGAATTGAAATAGAGCTTCTGCAAACGTTGTTAGAAGAGAGCAAACATTTTTTGTCAAACCTGTGAGAACAATATTCTGTTCTTAAATTTGAAATTCTGGGTATGTAAGAGTAGCAGCTAGTTAAAGGAAATATTTAAAATAAAATGGTTCACCTGATGTCAAGAATCACTTTAGTGTATGATACTTATATTTTGGGGTTATTTTACAAGGTGTAATACTTGCAAACAGAACAGGAATTTACTTACCAATCTCTCCTTCAAGTAAAAGCCTTCTAGATCTCTTAAGTTAACTGGACAAAACAGTTTAAATAGTGATTTGGATGTAGGCACAGAAACATAGAGAGTTTAAAAATAAAATTCAGTATTTTCTTTGTGTGGATACTTATGAAAATAGTGATTATACGAAACCGCTCAGTACAAGGCAAAACAAGAATTGTCAATGAATTTCTTGTCCATCTTCTGCAGACAAAGCACATGCTGCTGACTGACCATGGTGCACACCTGTTTGCTCAGGCCATGGGTATTCCTGAGACTCCAGGGGAGAAACTCGTAACTGAGAGATCCTGGGACAGATGGAAGAAGAACCTCGAGCCAGATTCCAACCCTGAAGAGTTTCAGAAGTAGGGGGTTTGTAAAATATTTTTCTTTTTAAATTCAGGTAGTTTACTTTGTGCTGTCAGTTTAAGAAAAAAACAAAACAAAACACAACCTTGAAGGCCTGCATTCAGACTTGAGAATATTTCAGTTCTGAGTGTTACATGGTTTGATACAGTCTTCACAGTATGTCCTCATTGAAAGTAATGAAAAATCAAGCTTTCAATGAATTTGCTCAAGCGTAAGTGACTGGAACAAACTTAGACAAACTTGTTGATGCTTAAGAAGATTGTCAGTCACTTTGACATAGCATAGGTTTTGTGGCATTAATGGAGGACAAAGTTAGGTCTTGTTATTACTCTTAAAATCACCAGTTACAGAAGCGTATAGAGCAGCTGTAACAAACAGGAGGTGTCACTTTGTATAGTTCTCTTCCACAGGGGCACTCTGATTTTAAAAAAATCTCCCGTCCACACCTTAAAATAAGTCCATGGAAAAAAAAATTAATAAAGTTGATCTTGGTTAAGTAGATGATCAGATTTGTCTTTAAACTGGATTAGGTAGTTAAACGACATCAGATTTTGACCAGTAACTCCTTCTGAGTGCTGATTGTGGCTGTTGGTTATTGTAGAAAGAAATGAAAAAATTGACCAAGAAGTTCAGTGTGAAAAGAGATGCTACTGGATGGTATTACACAAGAGCAAAACAAAAGTCACTTGAAAAATAACCAAGTCTCATATAAAGTAGAGAGGAAGGTGAAGCGGACAGGAAAGGAAGGAAAATCATCAGGTGTCAAAAATGTTTTTGTGCCTGTGAGGTAGGGATAAATACTAAATTGTTTTGAGCTTCCATTTGTATGTCAATGTTTGTGGCATAGGAAAACACTGTATTACATTATATTGCATAAGTGCTGTGCTACATGTTGTTCATCTGGTTTGTGAAATAATAGCAATGAGAGAAGCAGAGCTGAAGAACTTGCAGGTCAAAAGGAGGAAATTTCTGTGGGCACGTTAATTAAAGTCTATTAAATGAGACTATAAGCTACAAGCTATATGTTACTTTCAGTAAATAGCTAGAAGGAAAAACAAATTCATGAGACAAGTGTAAATATGGTCTTACAAACAAAGTGAAGTTGTTCCTTGACCATAAGGTCTCAGTTGTAGTTCATCTTGTATCCAACCTAAGTTTTCTTTTGATCCATGGTCTATGCAAGAACTGTGTGGTACTATAATTCATTATGAAGAATTTTGAGCCCCTACTGCCGCTCGGTCTCCTGAATATACGAGTTGGAATGACATGGCATCTGAGTCTCCATTCATTCTTTATAACTGCTTAATTTTATTTCATTTTTTTTTACAACAGTGTTAGCTATCTTCAATTTCAGCACTGTCTGGAATATCTGATTATAGGCAGCTTGTGTATTTCTGAAGGGCTCAAGATTTTTTCTTGTCTTAGCCATGCTGTTCTTTTCCTGACAATCAGTGCCCAAAACATCAGCACAAATTCACAAAGTTGAAAACAAGTCTTTTTTCTTATGCAAGCCTGTTTGTTCCTGTTATTGCACGTGGAATGTTCTTTTTCCCTGTTATGTCCACAGTGATTATGCAGAAACTTGCCTGAGGCGAACAGACAGAAAGTGAAGTAGTATTAGGCAGAGGCAACATAATACCAGATCATACTGGGAATTTGAAGGCTGGTATGTACTTTACTTCCAGTCCTCTGGTCCTAAGAGTGTTGGAAACCTTTGGGGTTCACAGCTTTCCAAGCAAAGTTTGGTGTCCCAGAAGAGAGACTCTTCTCTTCTGCTGGTTAGAAGCATGCATACATTTATATTAAAAGCCTATGATCCCATTGCACGTACAACATGGCATCTTGTACACCTTTTGCTGAGAATAAGGTGTGGGTTTGTTGGTTTTGTTTTTTTGTTTTTTTTTTAATTTTCAGGCACTCCAAAGATTCTGACCATGCCCTTGTCAAGAATTGCTGGAGATTGCCCAAGAACCCCACAAAAAGGGGGTTGAGCCTGTCCATGAGGTAGCAGATGGGCCACTAGTCCCTCCGTGAATCACAGTGCAAGAGTAACTCAAGGAGGTATTAAATAAAAGGACCCTGACAGCCTCTGGCAGAAAACCCTATTTGTGATGCAGGCCTAAGAGACAAAATAGCAGGTGCTTTATTGGTTGAATGGGGACAGAAAAGTACATGTAACTGACTGAATAATGGAAAATTTAGACAAAAGGGAATGAACAAATCCAAGTGATCCATTCTGTATCACAGTATATGTAGTACATAAGTCTTGATGGAACAAAATCATTACTACTAATAGCATCCTCTGGTATACTACAGGTACTTCTTGAGATTCTTACTGCTATCGTTATCTAACGATAGATGATTATATCATATCTCTGCTTAGACAGTTTTGCCTGCCTTGGTAATGTTTCCGAGTCAACTAGCTATGCAACGGATTGTTTGTATCTTCTTTGCCTTTGTTCTGAAGATGAACAAAGAAAACATGTAACACTGAGGCAATAAAAAAGTTTAAAGGGACAGTCAGAAATAGGGTGTAGTTGTCTGCTCTACCACAGAGAAGGTATGTTGGACACATTCACTTTGTTACTTAGCGCTGCTTGAGCTCTTGTACCTAAACAGATAGCTGCTGTGTATGTGTTCTGCATGCTTTAGTTCTTCTCACAGTTGCTTAAGGTAAACACGTACCCAGGAAAGTGTACATCTGGGTGCACCTTTCTTGATTTCTCTGGAGGATGTAACTCTAGTTGGTTGAAGGGTGCCACATGAGCATGCAAGGGAGTACTGAATTTACTAATATTCTTTTCAGCAAACCATTTGTAACAGATGGATGGGTGGGAAGCCCATCTGCACCATCATATCAGTTTGAGATGAGGTCCATCTCCACATAAATGTCAGAGCAGTTTCTAAGGCCTGTGATTCATCAGTCAACTTTGAATTGCTGTGAATGAAGTGTAGGGACTGACAGTATGATATTTTACATAAGCAGGAGGGAACAGGAAGTTGGCTTTCTGAGAAATTTACTGTGGGTTTCATGGTACACAAAGACTTTGTCTGACTTAATTAGCTTAGATTTTGAGGGGGTTGTAGAGAGACCCTCACCAGTGTGTGATGTTCCTGTTCTAGTCACCTGTTGGGCAGTTCTTGAAGGATTGTTACAAATTCTTTTGCTTTGTGGAGGGATTTAGATATTTTTTTTGGTATACCTCTCCCAGCCAGACACTGTTTTATGTTCCTTCGTGAATTGCCAAAATTGGAATGTGTGGACACTCAAACTGTTGCTTCTCAGTGCAGCAACTGTTACAGTAAGTTACAATAGCTTTTTTTCTCTGAGTGTAAATACACATGTATAATTTAAGCAGCCTATTACATATGACTTCTATGTACTGAAGAAATAAAGCAGTAGTTGAGACTTCTATTTTCTTCAGTGCATGACAATTTTTAAGCTAATGTGTGGTTTCAACAGATTGTGCTGGCCAAGTGATTTAAACCTCAAGATTGCTTAGCTACAGAGTACAAAGACGAAAATCCGAATTAATGATGTGCTGTGAACAATGCTAGTTGAAAGGCACATAAATAACCTTTTTTTTTTTTTTTTTTGTGGCATTCAAACATTTAGGGGAATAAGGAAGAGGAAAGAGGAGGAACAGGAAGGAAATGATTCACTGCATTCCTTATATTACTCTGCTCTTCTGTATTCACTTGTTTATGTGCATTGTCATTAATAATTCCAGTTAACCTCCCATTGAGACACTGGAGACAATTCTTGTGTCTTTGAGTTGCTGTTTAGGGGAAGGTTGTGTGTCAGGTATGTCACAGCCAAAAAACTACTCCAGAGCTATGATTGCTAGAAATATTTCTGCCCTGTTTGCTTTTGTTTTGCGGGGTTTGTTTCTTCCCCAAGTCAACATTTCCATGCTATGAAGGTAAAGGGGCAGAAGATAAAAAAAAAAAAAAAAAAATTGAGTGTTTTCTACTTTATTAAATATGAAGGTATGAGAATTGTTGCATACTGCTTATTACTTTTGTAATGAGAAACATGGTAAAAAATAGCTTTATGATGAGCAGTAATTTTTTTTGGTAATTTTTTTAAAGCTACCTGGAAAAGAAATGCAACATGCTTTGGCAGGTATGCTTTAATTCAACCTAATTTTGTGAACTGTTTTTCTTGGCAGAGACCTTGGAACAGTCGGTGCTGTTGCTATAGACAGTGAAGGAAACGTAGCTTGTGCAACATCCACTGGAGGACTCTCTAATAAACTGATTGGCCGTGTTGGTGACACAGCATGCATAGGTATGGGCTGTGGGGTCTTGCCTTTCATTTTTTGTAGGTATCTCATTTAAAGAAAGGAAAAAAATAAAAAAGTATTACACATTTTCTGTTTCATTGGTGAAATGAAACATAAATATGGGTACATTTGAAATGGAGGTCAAACATTCAAACGTATCAAAGCCCAAGCTCCTTAGCACAACATGGAGATTGCAAGTAAGGACTGGGAGTAGAGGTGTAGTGCTGTCATTATTATCATCATCCAACACTCTTCTATCTGGAAAATGGGGCTGGGAATTTCTTCTTTCAGTCTTTTCCTGAATGTTAACTTTTTTTTCCATGTTTTCTTTCTGTTCATTCTGATAAAACTCTCCTTTTGTACATCCATGCTTACAGCTAAGTCAAAAAATGTAGCCTGTTCCATACTAAGATGCTGTTTTCTTGGTACTTAAGGAAGTAGGTGTAACTGTAATGACTGTTCATTATATCAGTGAGCCAGAATTGTAAAATGACTGGCAACTTTGAGTAAATTCCTGTTCTTAGAGAGCCCTGATAAGACTGCCTCAGAGCCTAATAGATGCGGTGTGGAATAAAGGAAATATTTTAAGAGATCTCTTATCCAAGTACAAAGAGATACTTGAAATCCATTCCCCAGACTTGTTCCTGTTGTGGGACCGACTTGCCATTTGATTGCTTCAGGGTTCTACCATACAGCTGGGATTTGGAAAACAATTATTTTTAGTAAAATACGTTCCAAACTCAAATAGCACTGCTGTTGGCAGTACATGATTATTATAAAACTAATACTAACTTTCTGTTGCACCTTAGGTTGCTAATATTTTGGTACCCTCTGCATTTTTACTATGATTTTCAGCTTCATTTCTGACTTGCAGCCTTCTGCCTGCAAATACCCTTCTCTCATAGATCATGTTCAGGGCTCCTATAGTATGGGGCATCGGTCTGGAAAGGACAAGTGGAACTGGGCACTGTTGAACATATTGCTTGCAACTTTTGCTCTTAGTAGCCATCTTCAGGATTGGATGCAGAAATGTTAGCTGTCCTTTTAAATATTAGAGCCTTTGAAATGGGGCTCTGACAGACTGATTGTGGCAGTGTTTTTCCACGTGTAAATCAGGGTCCATTGAAAGGGTCTGATCTGATCAAGAAAGTACAGAAGGGTAGAAACTTTTGTCACTCTCCTATGCCTCTTCCCCTGGTACCTTGTTTAATAATGCTGTGGTATGCTCCTCCCCTGCTCCTGGGAAATATTTTTCTTAGGAGATGTGCTAGAAACATGGGTGTTGAGCAAGCAGAAGCTTGGTGGAGAACAGGGTGTGGAATGTGCCAGCAAAACAAGGATGGGAGGGGGAAAAAAAAGGGGGGGGAGGGGGAGAGTTCAACAGAAGAAACACTCTGCTTGTGGTGAAGACTTGCAAGATTCTTCAGGGGTGCTTCGTGATAATTCACTGTAGAGCCCAGGCTTTTCAAATCTCTTATCTGCTTTTGCTCATGCAGATAAGTCCCCCTCAAGCTCTGGTCAGTTCCCCAATGTCCTCACGAGATCTTCCTTCATATCTTCTCAATTGGTAATGTTGTGTATCCTGGCATTCTGCATCCCATTGCTATCTTGCGATACATATATGCCTCAATATACCGTCCCTTGCTGTTCTGGAAAATATTTTTGCCCATCCCTGTGAAGTGTAGGCCTGCTTCTGCTTACTTGGACCACAAGCAGATCACTAGTCTTCTAGCTCATAACTTGGCAATTGACTTCATCCAGCTGTTGTTGATATCTTTCATATATTTCACTTTTCAAACCGAGGCAGAAATGACAAAGGAGTTAGTTACTGTCACCTTTCTCCCAGAAGTGCCAGGCCTCTAGGAAGAAGTGTTCGATATCTATTTTAAACAATGCAGAGCTTGTAAATTGTATTACAGAGTATTGCCTTTTTTTTTTTTTTTTTTTTTTTTTTCCCCTCTGAAAAGGAAGTGGAGGTTATGCTGATAACCGTTCTGGTGCCACTTCAACCACAGGACATGGGGAGAGCATTATGAAAGTGGTCTTAGCCCGACAGATCCTCTATCACATGGAGCAAGGTAGATTCCAAACTTCCTGTAAGATGAAATAATGAGGATAAGAAATGTTGCCTAATGACAGGTTTCGGTTTATGTACTGTCATCCTAGAACAGTTGTCAGAAGAGTTGCTCCCAGGGGTATGTGGATGGGTCAACTCTCTTTCAAGACAAAACAAAGTGCTATAGTATTAATAAAGCTAAAGTAGCCTTAAGTGGACAGAATGTCCGCTGCTTGGTGTTTACTCGTGCTCTGGGTCAATGTACATTGAAAGACGTTATTGTCTTAATTATTTAATAATTTCTTTCCAATTTTAAACTAAAATTTTGTGAACAAAGACAAAACAAATAAAAGCAAGATATATCTAAGAAAGCAGTTGGGGAGGGCTAGAGATAGATAATCAGCTGAAATAAGAAAGCATAGAATGTCACCTTTCTAATGAACTGTAGTAGTTTTTATTTTAACAAGTCTGATTATAGCAACAGAAACGCTTTTAAGACGTTTTAACTATGATTTAAATTTTCATTTTGTTTTGGAAAATGTACTAAAGTGACTGGGTAGGTATGTGGTAAACAGCTGACAGTAAGTCTTATATGACTGTAATATAATCTGACTGTAGGATGACCCTTTGGAGCTTTACCTTCATGAGTTAGTCTGTTAGTCATCTAAACCCTTGATTATATTACAGCCTGTAAACATAGCCAGACAACATACTTGTATTGCATGCAGTTGAAGAACCATTAATATAGATATCACCATTATTTTTAGGAAGCCATAGCTTTTGGGCAATACAGTGTAACTTGCTTTGAGATCAGCCAAACTGGAAATAGTTGGAGAACTTTCAATTTACATTTTCATTGGAGAAGCAGTAAACAAGAGGGACAAGTAACAGCTGACAAATTTTTATTATGCTTTATAGAGCTGTTAGCATACAATGGGCACATTTCTCTATAAATCTCTGGGCTAATGCAATAGTTTCAGCATAAAATACAACCTACAGATTATTTCCCAAAGCTCCAACACGTTATGATGTCCCCTTACTCCCTGTGTTATGTCCCTGGCCATTCAATTTGCAAATGGCCTTCTAAGCTCTATTTAAGTCTAAACTGCATAAACCAGTTTCTTCTCTCACTTGAAGAACTGCATTGCAAAACCTATGCACTGATAGCAGTTACCTGGTTTGTGATAAATCAGTATGAAAGACAAATGAGGCTCAAATTAATTTTTTTTAAGAAAAGAGAAAACCCACGTGTGCATGTTTAATTGGTTTGCACTTGTTCACCCTGCCTGTGCTTGCTCTACCTTCATTCATCGCGCCCAGAAGTATAGCTCAGCTGCCAGGAAAATACGTCAGCAATAGACTACCCCTCCTCCCCCCCTCCCCCCCCATTTCCATGAAGGCACTGAAAACAAACCTTCAAGTTGTTATAACTCTTTGAGTCCTTGAACGGTCAGCTGAAATTGCATATTTAAGAACAACTATACAGTGCTCTCATAAATCTGTTCAGTAATTCACATTGTAAATATCTTCTTTTGGACCAATGCTGCAAAACTTACTTTCATATTTCAGGAGTGAATTGCTTTGCCAGTCTTAACAGCTGTTGGAATCTCTGTCTTATGGTGGCAGCTGTTGTCTTGATGAAAAATCAAACAGTGAAATACTGACCCTTTGAAGTCAGTGCCATGGACTTGAATAGTCACAGTGTCACCCCATAACGTCAGAGAGAGGAGCTTTATCCTGTCAGTCACCAGTGCTGTGAATAATACTAACTCTGCTGGTTTTGTTTGGTTTTGACTCAAAATTTGCAGGGAAGGCATGAAGGTCAGTTTTTGTTCTGCAACTTAAGCTGCATAACATTACCAGTGGTATATATCTTAGAACAATTAGGCCGAGCCAGCTGCATTCCTGAATATATATTCAAACTTGCAGTGAACAGTCTGCAACTATTACAGGCCCCGTGTGTGATGTACACATTAACTTTGATTTATTTTGAAAATATTCCTGTTAATGTGAATTAAGTGTAATGAAAAGATAAAGTTGCTTTGCCTGTCCTTTCTCTGATGTCTAGTACACTGAGTCCTCATCTTGCCTTGAAACTTTCAGAAGTTTCAGGAAGAGTAACGCTGATGTCTGCTTTGGATAAATTATGAAGTACATGCTTTGAGCTCCGTTGCGGCCAGTGGACTTGGAACATAGATGATGACTGAAATTTTGGATTGGTTTAACGTGGGTTTTTTCCAAGTTGTAAATGCTTTAGACCTAGCTTGTGAGAAATCTTTGATGGAAAGCTTACATTTTTCTCTAAATGATGGCATAAGAAATGTTGCATCTTAAACATAGAGTTCATGAGTTAGTCTATATCAAACACTGAAATTGAGTTACAGTCTGAAGCTATTTAAATCCTGTCTTTGTAGCAGCACCATACCATAGCAGCTATTAGCAACTGTCCAGAGCCTTCCTCTAACACTTCCTTTGCTATGCTGGAAATTTCTTGCCGATTTAGTTCAAGGGGGAATTAGATTTGGCTAGCTCCATAGGGAGGGGTGAAACTTGAAAGGAATTTTAAGATTTATTTCAAGATAGATACCGTGAAATTTATCTTGTTCTTCTTTTCAGGAATGTCACCAGAGGTGGCTGCTGACACTGCATTAAACTACATGAAGACACGAGTTGGGGGCTTGGGGGGTGTCATTGTTGTTAACAGTTCAGGAGAGTGGGCAGCAAGGTTCTCCACCAAGCAGATGTCCTGGGCTGCTGTAAAGGATGACCAGCTGCATTATGGGATTTATGCTGGAGAGAGGCATACAAAATCTGTTGATGAAGCCCTTACATCTGAAAGTGAGAGATTCTGAGAATGAAGAAACATAGGCTGAGGAAGAATTAAGATCTCCAGTTTTTGCTGGAGGACAATGACAGTTGATTTCATCTTTCTGAAAGATCTGTACTTTTTTGATTGGTTCACAGGCATTGCCACATTTACAGTCAAAATGAAATCTGGATGTAGTTCTTCAGCAGTCATGGATATATGTAGTGTTGAAAAATACCTTTGGGAAGTCAGGAGATCCTCCTTTTCTAGATAAGAGAATGGTTAGTAGGTTTCTTCATTAGCATGCCTTAATCCTACATTAAAGAGACCCTGAGTTTCAGTATTGTAGGAACACCTTCCCATGCCCATTCTTGGAGACTGCTGCCAGGATAATTTGAGAGATGAATGCCTATTAATTAAAAACTGAATTTGGAAAATTGCATCTCTCTCCAGAGTCTTTTGAGCAGTCATCTCATGACAACAAAGTGCTACCTGCCAGTGAAATACCACTGAGCAACAGTGAAGAGCTAAGACTCCGTCATTGTCAGAAGTTTGAGGTAACTGTCGGGGGAAATAACAATGAAGGAAAGAAAATAACTCTTCTCCAGATTTGGGAAATGTGGTGCTTTCTAAAGAGTTCAATTTTATTCCATTCGTTGGCATCAGACCTACAATTAAATAACAGTATTTTGAAGTATGTGTGGGTAGTTAACAGGAAGGATATTAATGACTTAATGTTTGGGCTAGTAGCAAAGGTCATGATTTCAGTAAGTATAAATAAAACATCAATCTTTACTACTGAAATACAGAGGTGATAGGCACCTTTTAAGTCTAAACATGAGACAAAGAGAAGATGTGATTCTGTGATTAACTGGAAAAATAATTATCTAAAATCAAGTGATAAAAGCAAGCTGTACTAAAATAAAACAAGCTTCTTGACAAGCTTCTTGTGTGAAGTCTGAAATGTTTTCTGGAGAGGTTTTCTTTTTGAAAAATAATTGATGTTCTGTATTACCTCTGATACAGAATACAGTTTCTGCGTTAAGAAAAGACAGAGTAAAATTTCTTTCTTTTTTTTTTTTTTTGTTTTCTGACTTAGCTACATAACTTTTATGTTGAAACTGCATAATAATTTTTTACATTTTAGCTGGTGGCTAGGTTTCCTCTGCAGGCAGATTCATATGTTATAATTGCATGCCATCATACTGTAGAATGTTCCCTTTACAAGATAACCCAAGTACACATAGCAAAAATCTTAAATCGTAGTTTGAAACTACTCACACCTGTGTCTAACTGCAATAAACCGTGTTACTGAGCTGGCTCATACAGAATGGTAAGGTGGCCAAGGCTGCCTAAGCCGCTCTCTACTTTGATCCATGGCTTACTAGGTGTTGCAGGTGACTGGATGTGGATGGTGGTGGTTCAAGAGCAGATGGCTTATGCAAACCATAACCATGGAGTACTTGTGTACTTTGTTCCACGGGAGGTAACGTAGAAGATGGCTACTGCCTGATCATGAGCACTTTATGAAACAGTAACAGTATTTAAGATGTGCTTATCTGTAGAGAGAAGTAGTATTCTTCTGAGCAAAAATTAATTCATTTCCCCTTCTGTGTGTGCAATACCAATCCTACAAGGCCAGACTGTTCTCTGGAATGAAAGTAGTATTGTCTTAGGTTAGGTTCATTGCCAGAATATGAAGGCGATCCAGATACTTGTGGCCAGGCTTCTGCTTTGTTTACCTCACCTGTCCCTAGTGCAAGATCAAATTCAGGACAGGCAGTAGAAAATACTATCTCCACAAGTTCTGCCCAAGCTTGCTTTGCAGCATTGTTTTCATGAAATTGCTTGATGATTTTTTTAATGAAAAAGAGTCAAACTTGAAGGAAGTTTTTTAGAGCTACATGGTGATACGTAGGCTGTACACAAGAGAAGGAGGCTGCAAATACCTTGCCTTATACCTGCTTTATCAAATTAAAGACTGTAGAGGGCATGTTCCTAGTAACCGTTCCTTTGCTTGAAGTAGTTGGAGGGAGGAGCAGTTAACCCAGTATTACCGTAACACCTGGTGTATCATCCTTGTTCAGGCCCTGGTTGTATGGTTTCTGAGTGAATGCAAGCCTGTTCCGGTCATGCTCCAAGTTGACGAAAACCCAAACGACGGTTAGTGTAGCAGCAAGCATAAGCTAATGCACCCGCTGGGTGATTTATTGGCAAGGGTTGGCACTACGCAAACCTGGACAGTTGGCTTTTGGTCAGCTTTGAACATGTTCACATCTGCCCAGAAGGTATCGTTGACCGCAGCAGCGGTACAGATACAACCTCGGGGCTGTCAGAAGGAACAGTAGATGGTTACTGTGGTTAATTCAGCTCAGCTGTCCTCAGGAATATAATGTAATAAATTGCTGGCACTTAACAGAGCATTATCCTATGTAAGTTCTATCACTTGTCGCCAGACTTCTAACAGTGCGTTAAGCAGTGTGACTGCCACCTGGCCTGTATGATTTGTTCTGTCTTGCCTTGTCCTGGTTTCAGCTGGGACAGAGTTAATTTTCTTCCTAGTAGCTGGCTTAGCGCTGTGGTTTGGATTTAGGGTGAGAAGAATGTTGATAACACACTGATGCTTTAGTTGTTGCTGAGCAGTGCTTACACCAGTCAAGGACTTTTCAACTCCCCCTGCTCTGCCAGGTGCACAAGAAGCTGGGAGGGGGCACAGCCAGGACAGCTGACCCCAAATGACCAAAGGGGTGTCCCATACCATATCACGTCATGCTCGGGGCAGTTGGCGGGGGGCAGAATTGGTGCTCGGGATGGGCTGGACATTGGTCAGCGGCTGGTGAGCAATTGCATTGTGCAGCACTTGTTTTCTATATTCTGTATATTCTCTTACCATTATTATTACTATTGTTATTCTTTCCCTCTGCTGTTTTATTAAACTGTCTTTATCTCAACACACAGGTTTTAATTTTTTCCACTTCTCCCCCCCACATTCCACTGAGGGAGGGGGGAGTGAGCCAGCGCCTGTGTGGTGTTCAGTTGCCTGCCAGGTTAAACCACAATGCACCCACTCCTTGGTAGCGTGCTCCATATTCCTGTCTCATGAAAAAGTATCTGGTTTTCAAAAACATGGCCATGCTGTTAACTTTTCCAGCTGAAGCAGGCCTGGGAACGAGGAACTGTGCCTTGCATATGGACTGACGGCACTTGGGTTGATGACGTGTGGTACTCCTCAGGCTGTGTGGAGTTCGGAGTTCAAACGATGGCAGCTCCAGCAAAGCGCTGGTGCCAGCGGTCGGGGCTACGTGCTTTTCTTCTAGCTAGCTGACCGAGTCAGCACTCCTCGGAAACACATGCCATTTCCACACGGAACTGGGACAGCAGGTCGACCTCTTCGAGGACAGTGTTCCCCTTTCTCGTAGGAAGGTGGGATGACAGGTCAGGGATGGGGTAGACCTAACTTGTGAAGAAATCAGAGAGCTGGGGATGAAGCAGTTGTTTTCCTTCTCTCTCTCTTTACCCTTTCCGTCATGTTCTTTAGCTGGAACAGGATTATACGCTGTTGCTGCTGATGTAAGAAGTTCCTAGCGTTGCACAGGGCTACCTCGTTTTTTAGTACGCTTACAAGTGCCTGACTGTTCGGAATACTGCAAAACTACCCTCTGTAAGGGCTTCTAATATTTAATGGCGTTTATAAATATAAATGTAGTTGAAAGATGCTGAACTTCAGGGGCATACCAACAGCAGGACGGGAAATTGTGTGCCACTGCCCTGCACTGCTGCTGGAAAAGAGCCGCTCATCCAAACAGCAGCGACCTGGCTATCGAAGGAAAATCAGAGGTCTGTTGCCAAGAAACTGAGTGTCCTTGGCATGTAGCAAAGCAGCAACAGAGTTTTAATTATCTTATTAAAGTGTGGCAATCTTGTTATTTTATATCACTTAGAAAGCCAGTTGTGGATGCTGTCCTGTTGCTGCCTTACTATGCTGTGGAAAGGGTCCCTGACCCGAGCAGGTAGCCGCGATGAGTGTGCGTATCAAAGCCAAGATGTTGGCAAAAGCAGCAGCACGGTGATCACTGACTTGGCTCAGATATTGTTAGTTCTGCGCGGGTTTTTCTTCTTAATCTTTGCAAGTTATAAGTAATTAAATATGGTTCTGTGGGGCATCAGTGTTTGGAAATTTGGGGTTATTTTTTTCAGTGTTCTTACTTTGTCCTGCATTCTAGCTCTGTGTCTCTGAGGTGGTTTTCATTGACTTTGAAAAGTTCAATGGTACTCGCTGTTTTGCTTGTTTCTCTTCTGGTCTGCTTTTCCTTTGATATGCTCTGATAAATATTTGCTGTGGGACAGATTTCAATCTTGGTTACGTCAGTTTAAATGAAAAGCACAGTCACTGAAGTCCATGACTACGCTAGAGGAAGTGAAATCAGACAGAGGCTCACCGGTCTGAAGCTGGTAGCTCTGTGAGGATTCAAACAGCTTTATCTAACAAGGGAGAGAAAAGAGAAGAGGATGGAGAGCCTGCTGCCAGGAGACGCTGCATGAGACAGGACTCTGGTCTTCAGCAGTGTCGGGGTGAGGATGATGCCCAGGGAAATAGTTGGATATGCACACTGGGAAATAAATAAGTGTCAAATGATTCACACAAAAGGATCTTAAGGTCACATGGCCAGGGTGAGCAAAGAGTCATTTTGGTTTAGACATGTAAGCCATGCAGGAGGGGAATCTCATTTTCCTTTCCACTGCACTCCTTACGCTCGGTTTATTGGGGGCACGTAGATACCCTGCAGCCTTTGTGTAAATGAGCTTTGCCAGACCTGCTTGCATGTGCTTTAACTTCAGTTATTTTTTAACATTCTTGCCTTTTAAAATTCTCCTTGGTCAGAGTGAGACTTTCTCGTGGTTCCTCCCTGTTCTGCTGAGGACAGGACAAGTTACGATGCAGTCTGTGTGGGCTTCAGCCCTCCAGCCCTGCACTTTTGACCCTTTACTGCTAGGGCTTTACTACAACTTAAGCTATGTAAATGCATGGTAGCATGCAGCTTATTAAATACTCAGCTGCTTCCAGACTTAATGGCTCTGCTGGGTCCTGCCTGCGTAGCGGCATAGCAGGCTCCGTGCTTAGCAACCCAGCCTGCCCAGAGCGCATCACCCCCGAGCACCCCTTTCCCTGCTGCTTCCCCACGGAATGTCACGAATATTTCCAGCTTTTTCTGATGGTACCCAAAAACCTTGTCTAGGTTGGGGTGTAGCTACCAACTGCCAGCCGCAGCCTGTGATCACAACTGTGTTACATCAGGGCTGACTGATACAGGAGACAAAACCTGGGGCCGTTAGAGGTGCTGGACTAATTTTTGCAAGTACTAATGACTGTAAAATACACACACCGGTAAATGCAGACCCTACTGTTTCAGCGCTTGCTTTTTCTTAGCAATTTCCAAATGTCCACTCGTAAGCAGTTTCTAGAATAATTAACAAACTGCTGCTCTTTTGGGCTGGAAAAGTGCACAATTTGCCAGGACTCGGGTGCTTGCGTCCTCTGTACAAGGAACTCATTTGCTGAGTACAGCCAGTATTTCTCTCCTTTCCTATATTACAGAAGATAACTTTTGGTGGTGTTTGTTGGTTGATTTTTTGTTTGTTTGTTTCATTGGTTTTGCTTTTTAAAAGCTAAAAAAGGTTATTGTGGCTTCACTCAGGTGTTTTTACCTACCTTTTGTCTCACCTCAGGTAACCCTTCTGAGATCCTTGGGAATGAGTGCGGCTCAGCTAAGCCTCTAGTGAGATAATCACTCAGAAATAATGATATTAGGGAAAATGAATGGAACATGAAACCCAGCATGTTTCCAAGGGGTTTAAGCCAGATGGAATCC